TCTGATTTAATATTCATATTGTCCCTGTGAGGTAGATGCAGGTCCACAATTCTGTATCTGAAACATGTTGCAGAATTCCTAAGTTCTCAGACAGTGGAAAGTTAACATAGTACATAGAACAGTCTGCTACAGAGCTAGGAAAGCATGCAGGAAAAGTGTATCATATGATTACCCACAGGAAGGATCAGTAAAGGTTATTTTAAATCTGCACATCAAGTAGAACTAGGTTCTGCCATCACATTAGTCATGAGCATAGAAGCCCATTCTCCAAACTACACTGTAATTTTAAAAGAATGGATCTGTGAATTTTTACGTACTTTCCCCTATAACTAAGGATTATCATCACAAAATTACTCAAATGACTTCATCATCCTTATCAAGCATTCATTTCTAAGACTGAGCAAGATGTTTTTCTTCCAAATAATTATACTGTATACTAAAATGAAAATATCAGTTATTTTCTTCTCATGAGAGAACTGATATTGATATTTAAACACAAAATCTAATTTTTACTGCTACACTTATAAAATGACATACTTTTCAGATACTTAATTCAATTTGATCTAGAAACTTAAAGCATTTCCTATTTCATTTCTGAAAGAAAAATATATGTGATCAAAACTTTCATTATACAATGCTTTTATGTTTTCAATCTGGTTTTTTTTTTTTTGGTCCGGACGTGGGGCCTGAACTCTGGGCCTGGGTGCTGTCCCTCAGCTCTTCAGCTCAAGGCTAGCGCTCTACCACTTGAGCCACAGCGCCACTCCAGCTTTTTTCTTTTTGCTTATGTGGTGCTGAGGAATCAAACCCAGGGCCTCAGGCATACAAGGCAAGCGCTCTACCACTGAGCCATCTTCCCAGCCCCTCAATCTGTTTTTATATAAATTCTTGCCTTCCGGATAGAAACTGACCTAATTAATTTGAAAAGGTTCCCATCAGTATACTTATATAGTATACCTTAAAATATCTCAAGCATATGTATTTCACAAAAAGTCTAAGTTTGTAACACATATTTAAATAACAGGAAATTTAAATACCAGAAATAAGGTATTATTTAATAATACCCAATATTTAATAATATCTAAAGTATAAATGTAAACATTATGGCTACCTTTATGTCTAAAATTATGAAATATAATATCTAATAAGAAATATAAGTATGTAACTTTTGTGAAAAAAATTATACTTTCCTTTAGTTATTGATATGCCCTTGCTGAGACATATTTGGCAATTCAATAAAGAAAATTGGAATAAATGTTAAGATAACATGAAAATGACAACTTAATCTAACACTCATAAAATATCAGTTCTTATTGCTAATAAACAAGTTATTAACTCAACAATTATTTACCTTTCACATAATTCATTACAGTCACATATGAACTGGTAAAAGTTTATAAACTGAATTATATAAGTCAAACTAAAAATGACAGCAATGTAGTTTCATGTGTGTCTAGAGCATGGGGTCTGCCATTGACTAGCGGTAATGTCTTAACAAGTTAGTCAATCTTGGAGTCTCAATTCTTCATCTACAATGAAATGATCAGTCACCTAGTACACAGTCAATTCTGCAAGCACTTTGGCATCATTGATATTACTGAAACATCTTTGGAATCATATCTGTACCTCTTACTTTCAGTTTCAGTTTCCAGAAAACTAAGATGGAGTATGGAAACCATTTGAAAGAAGCCTATGTCAGTTTAAAGCCATCCACTAGTAATTCCGATATGTACACACTAGGGTTTAAAGCTAGATAGGGATAAACAGGAAACACAGTTTTTCACAGCTCATAACTTCATAATACTAAACAATAGCCAATGGTACTGCATCATACACACAATGATGCCCCAGTCTAGCGCTGCTATGGAGAGACTGTTGGTGCTGTTTATCCCAAATTCCAGAGAAAAAAAGCAAATCTTACTAAGAAAATTACTACTTCAGTTTTGAACATACTAATGACGAACTCACAGACTGCTTTGTGAACATTCCAGGAAGCAGTTAGAAATACAGACCTAAAGTTAGAAGGCTAACCCTGGAAAGTGTTCAATCCATCACTCCTTTATACTACCACAGATTTTTTTATTTTCTAGTTCATGACAATTAGTTGTCTCCATACTGTTCCTACTGCAAGAATGTATGCTTCTCGATGCATTTATATACTGCCATACAGTAAAAGCTCAAAAAAGTTTATTCTTAAAAATGCAGCCAGGCACTGATGATTCATGCTTATAGTCCTAGCTACTCAGGAAGCTGAGATCTGAGGATCACAGTTCAAAGCCAGCCCAGGCAGGAAAGCCTGTGAGACTCCTATCTCCAGTTAACCATCAAAAAGCTAGAAGTGGAGCTATGGCTGAAGTGTAGAGAGGTAGCCTCAAGCAAAAGAGTTCAGGGACAGGATCCAGGCCGAATAGAAGCCCCAGGAACATCAAAATAAATTAAATATATAAATTATAAATAATTTATACAACTAAAAGAGTAAATTTTACAATATAAAGAAAACTGACTAAAAAATATTTTGAGACTGTGAATTTACATAAAGATAAAATTTTTATTTGGAATTATTGTAACATAGGAATTTACTCAAGTGGTAGAACACCAGCCATGAGCAATAAAGCCAAGGAAGAGCTGGAGACTCTGAGTTCAAGCCCCAGTATGTGTGCGTGCATGCATGCATGCGTGCGTGCATGAGTGCATGTGTGTGTGTGTGTTACTACAATACATAAATAACAAAAAAAAAGTTTTTCTTTAATCTAGTCACAAAATTACTGAGTGTCACCAGGTTGCTAAAACTGACATCATCACTAGACTGACAAGTCTGAACAAATACAACCTGACAAGGCAAGAACTATGTAAACAACTGAAATAAACAAGAGCTCAATGAAGCTTCTTAAAGTACAGTAATTAAAATTCTTAACTTCATATAACCTAAAATGTGGACTAAAAAGATTTCACTTTTTAATTTACATACTACATAAGTTCTATAACTTAAAAATGTACCCCTGTATCCTTCTAACCCTTGTTGTTCAAAGAGCTGTGATAAAAACAAATATACTCAGTTGTATATACTAGGAAAACTAGTATAGGGACAACTATTCTCATCTCAATTCACTAGGAACTGTTTAAAATCTGGAAGTACTTCATAATGGGTTTCACTACTGGTATTAATTACTCCCATATAAATATGATAACCTTTATTAAAAGACACTGGTTGTACCTATCAGCAGATCTTGACAGCTTTAGTTGTAACTGATAAACTGGATTCCTTTAAGTGAAATACCTGTAAATGACACTAATGATAGTGCTCAATTAGATAGTAGAGAACTAAAAGGAGAGAACTAAAAGCAAAGAACCAAGTCATTACTAGTGAATGGATGGGAAGACAGGAGCAGTAGAAGACTGAAAAACAGCAATGCAGATAGGTTTAGAACTGTGAAACAGAAGCAGTAACAGAATTAAATACCTGCAACACAAAACAAACATAACCTTTAAAGTCTGTTTTCTCATATGAAATAAACATTTAAAAAAAGATGTAGATTGATTCTGATTTTATATAGTCAAAACCTTAAGAATCTTATACTAACAGAAAATACTGATGAATTATAAAGGACTCCCCTAATATTGGCCCTATATCCCTTTCTGTGAAGCAAATCATAAGGGAGGAAAAAAGGGTAACTTCAAACTCCTCTCTATGAGGTCTAAAATAGAAGGAAAATGTCCATTTATTCCAGAGCTATAGCCAACAATAATTTTTACATTCTGAACCCAGCTTAGGTACATAAGTTGGGAAGATGTTTGCAAAACTAATAACAAAGTGCTGGATTTAGCTTTTATTTTTCTTTTTCAGTTTAAGTGGCCTATGGTCTATCCGATATATTAAGCAGAAACTCCAAGTTTCAATGACAAAAGAAAATACTACTCCTCAGCTTTCGTCTTGTAGAGAGCTGTTTTGCAGAGCAGAGACCAAACTTCTACAAATGACCAAATAATAAATATTTTCAGCTTTTCAGGCTGAAATATCCAACTCTGAGTGATGCTTAATTAGATAAATGAGAATTTACTTACAAAACCAGACTACATGGCTGTAGTTCACTGGCCCTGCTACAGATCGTGTTTCTTAGCTATTAACGTTATATGGTTTTAATGAATATTATGAATTTTTAAATATCTGAGATTTGTTTTAAAATGCTACATCTCAAAACAAAGTGGAGAGTAGGGAGAAAGGTTAAGTAAGACTGGTAAAAGGCAATAGTTATTCGTTCTACTATGCTCTATAATTTACAAAGTATATAAATGTATATTTACAAAGTAAATAAATCAGGGCTGGGAAGGTGGCTCAGTGGTACAGCGCTTGCCTTGCATGCATGAGGCCCTGGGTTCGATTTCTCAGCACCACATAAGCAAAAAAAAAAAAAAAAAAAAAAAGACAAAGTAAATAAATCAATGAACCAGCTCTATAGAAAATGAAATATCTCTTACCTTATAAATCTTGAAACACATGCTTAATTTTTTTTTCTGGTTAAGGGACTTGAATTCAGGACCTGGGCTCTGTCCCTGGGCCTCTCTGTGCTCAAGGCTAGCACTCTACTGCTTGAGTCACAGAGCCACTTCAGCTATTTCTGAGTAGTTTATTATTTATTTATTATTATTATTATTTATTTATTATTCTGAGTCTCACAGACTTTCCTGCCTGGGCTGGCTTTGAACCTCACACAGTAATCCTCAGATCTCAACCTCCTGAGTCACTAGGATTACAGGTGTGAACCACCAGTTCCCGGCAATATTTTCTAACATAATACACCATAAAAGATTCTTGACAATGCCACTGTGGCATTTCTACCTGGCCCCTTTGCTCAGGGCTTTTTTAAAATGGTAACTTTGACTTGATTAAATACAAATTACTTCTAAACTGAATTCTATGAACTTTATTAATATTGCCCTTCTTCAATATGAACAAACTTAAAACAGCAATAGTTGGTGTGCATGTGTAGAGACGTACTTACATCATACTCTGAAGCTCTGTGGCAAAGCTTACAGGCCTCCCAGCACTTCTCCCACTACTTGAAGTAGCAGCAGCCATCGGGCTAGCGGCAGTGTTATTCATCTACATAAAAAAAGAAACAGAAACCTTACACAATGTATTTATAAATAAGTGCGTAAGATGGAAGCATTTTTCAACCACTTCCAAAAAAGGTATAGAAAAATTTAAGTTCCTAATGATTCTGCTTTGCATAACAGTTTTCTTTCACTTAACGTTCTTCATTCAAATGAAAAGGTACAGTAGAGAAAGGCTGCTTAGTTGAATGTCAGTCAATACCTATTCTGCAATAAGTAATGCAATAAAAATACTCATTAAAGGCTTTTGACAGAACTCAATGGTTTTGAATGTGTTGCAAGGAGCTCTTAGATTCATTAGCAATTCTTTAGGGAGCTCCCAGTAGCCCCTAAATACACACACACACACACACACACACACACACACACACACACACACACACACACACACAGTTTCATCCAGACCACTAGAATCACAGCTTAAAATACAAATAATACAAATAAAGTCAATCAGTAAATCAGAATTATGGACTATGGTATTTTATGATGATATGAGCAAATATTTTACTTAAAATGCTATTTTCCTCCTAAAATTAAGATAATACAGAATAAGAAAAATAGATGTCAATCAGAATGCATGTCATTTTATTTAATGCATGTGGCATTAATGAACAAGAATAAATATAAATAGCTCAAAATAACATCACAGTCTCTAGGCAGATAAAGCCTCTACTACCATGACACTTCGTATGTTCATGTAAACTTTGCTATGCTGTAACCTTCCTTAAAATAAAAACTCTCTTGAATTCTAAAGAACATAGCAAATTCAGAACAGGAAAAAGCAGGTCAGAGAGACTTACTACAGTTTAACTGAGAAAGCAGACTCTAGAGTTGCTCTCACGAAACACCTGCTCTGCTCATAACACTACAGAAGGTAGATGATGGTAGAAAAGAACTTCATTAGGGCAACTTACTAATCTGAAGAGCCCAAAGGGTCATCTTGCTGGGAAAACTGGCTTAGGAGGAGGTAGTTTATACAGGAGATTGGGTGATCACTGGTTGGTAGGCTCCTTCTCATAGGTAGAAGTTTGTTGAAAACCTAACCACATTGCCCACATAAAATGCTTTCCCAGTCCACAAATCTCAAGGATAGGATCAATTCTTTGGGCTTTTCCAGTCACAGAACAGCTTGCCTTGTACAGCTCCTGACATCTTACACAAAGGATATGTTACAGGGGACAGCTGTACCTGAGACCCTCTCATTTCTCACCAAACTCACAGTAATGAAGGAAAACACTTTGCCTGACTAGTATGGAAGGCAGAGGAGGCTAAATAGGAAGTAATGAAGTCACAGTGATCAGTCATAAAACCTAGTCTCAACAGCTGGCTTCATATTAAGACTACCTAGGTTTAATTCCCAGCTCTGCTGCTTTGCTAAAACTTTGAGCAACTTAACTTGTCAGTGTTTCCATAATAGTTCATCTCTTAGGGGGTGTTCTAAGAATTAAATGAATTAACGCATTACATTGCTAATTCATTAAGTAAATGCAAAGAATAATAACTCCTAAGTATACAATAAGCATGAAATAATGCTGTTGAAAGATCTTGTCTCCTTTCTTGATCCACTAAAAGCTTTCATGTCAAGTTACATTATCCTTATTTCATAGTCACAAGTTAAAAAACAACTTAAATACTTTAATTTTAAAAACTCAATAAAATTCCACTAACTTTAAATACTTCCATTACAAAATAAACAAAGGAGGGTCACTCTTCAAGGACTGGGCCCTATGCAAGTAGGCTGGAGGAAAAGGCTTCTGCCTGAGTCCACTGCCTAAAACAGATAGATAGGGAGGGAAAGAAGGAGGAAGGGAGAGAAGGACAGAGCTAGATTAGATAGATAGATAGATAGATAGATAGATAGATAGATAGATAGATAGATAGATAGATAGACAGACAGACAGACAGACAGACAGACAGGTAGATATAAAATTGTATATATTGAAGGTTTTAAAATGCAACTGGACCAAGAGAGACTAGATAGATAGATAGATAGACAGACAGATAGATAGATATAAAGTTGTATATATTGAAGGTTTTAAAATGCAACTGGACCAAGTGAGACAAGCAGCACACTACCTAGATGAGGTCTAGAATATGTCAATATCCTTCTGACCTAGAGTGGGCCATGTGGGCCCTAAGAGCCAGCCCATGGCCACTAGCCACAGAATGCAAGAGCACAGAAAGAGAAAGAAGCATTCCACTCCAACTGAGCTTGAGACCCAAAATTCTAAAATTCTAAAATTAAGAAACTAAGAAAGACTATCATCTTTTGAAACTTGAATTTGTTCTAGATTTTCACAAAGCCTTTTGAAATAATTATTTCTTCCTAATAATTATATAGGAAAGTAAATATTACCTGTTGAAACTTGGGTTAAAAAATTACAACAGGGCTGGGAATGTGGCTTGGTGGTAGAGTGCTTGCCTAGCATGCATGAAGCCCTGGGCTCAATTCCTCAGTACCACATAAACACAAAAAGCCGAAAGTTGGGCTGTGGCTCAAGTGGTAGAGTGCTAGCCTTAAGCAAAAGAAGCTCAGGTTGGAGTTCAAGCCGAAGGACTGTCCCCCCCACCCCCCCAAAAAAAAATTATATCACCAGTCCAAGATGGAAGGAAACAGATAGGAAATCTAAGATTTTACAATCAAGCAGAAATGGAACAGAGTTTTTAGGGAGGGAGCAAGAAAGAAGAGCTGAGGGAAAGAGAAAAAAAAGGAGACAGAGATAGAGACAAAGACACTGAACTTTCAAAGAGCCCAGAAAACATTCCTTGCTGTCCAACACAAGGCTGACAGATAACTTGGTGAAATGTTAAACTCAGTATTAATGTTAAACTAAGTATTAATAACAGCCTCCACAAATTGTGATTTGAACCGACCCATGTCAGATCTAATGCATATGCCATTCTATGGGATTATTATATGGCCAAGAAACTGAGGTATTGATGGAGCAACCCACCCCTTTTTCATTTTCAAATCTACTCACCCATTTTTAACTCTTTGAAGCAGAATTTTCCTAGATCAAATTCTTGTACAGCACAAGACAGAAGGAAAAAAAAAAACTTAGCCAGGCACTGGTTGTTCCTGTAATCCTAGCTTCTCAGGATGCTGAGATCTAAGGATCACAGTTTAACGCTAACCCCTGGCAAGAAAGTCCATGAGATTCTCATCACCAAATAATCAGCAAGCCAGTAAATCAGGATGTGGAGCTGTGGCTCAAGTGGTAGAGCACAAGCCTTGAGTGAGTAAAAAAGTCACACACACACACACACACACACACACACACACACACACGAAAAAAAGGAGGGGAGGAAGGAGAGGAAAGGGAGGAAAGGGAGGGAGGAAAGGGAGGAAGGAGAGGAGGAGTGAAAGGAGGTGGAGGGAGGAAGGGAGAAAGGGAGGAAGGAAGGAGGGAGGGAAGGAAGGAAGGGAAGGAGGGACGGACGGACGGACTGAAATGAAGGAAGGATAGACATCTTTATTTTGTTGTCTTCCTGCCTCTCCACTGCAAATGTTTTACATCAAAAGTACTTACTGGTAAGAAGAGTCTCAATCCTACTTTATTATAGCACACTCATCCTTTCACAGTCAAGTAATTTAATTTTCAAATCAAACAGGTGAATAATATTTTTCTTGACATGATGAGCTGATAGCTCATTAGACTTTTTACAATAATTATTTCCCCTTCCCACATTTTGTTTGATGATTTAGATAATTTACTTCTTTAGACATTAACTTCTTTACACATCAAAGTCCTATAATTCCAATGCTTTATTTCCTTTCTTCCAGACATTTAAAATAAAGGGGAGGCTTCTGTTAAAAGCAGAAGCACTCAAGTCAATTTTGTCTAATAAATACAGTTAACATGGAACTGAAAGCCTACTGTAATCTTCTCAATGGGTTCATGTCCTGCAGTTGTTTCAGCTTTCAATTGAAATGCAGCTGTTTGCCATATTTTACAAAATGAATTCAGATGTGCAGATTGGGACCTAGATCATTTCAACATGTCACAGTTCAAATGTGAACCCAAGGAATAAGTTCACTTCTCATTAATATAATATAGACCTGATCATTAAACCAATAGCCAATACTAGGTCACATCTGTAAAATCTCATTCCAGAGAAAAAAAGTTAACATTTATCTCTTAAGATACAGCAATTTAATGAATACTCCTTCCCCCCAGAAAATACTGCTACCAAATTAAAGATCTCAGTTGAAGTAAAGGTGCACATCACAAAAAGTAAAGCAGGCAAAATGCAAGGAACCTCTTACTGGATTTCCATATAGACACAGTTTTGGCAACTAAAAAACCAAAGAAGAAATACCACAAGAAACCTCTTAGAAAACTAAGAATTGAGAACTAAGAATTGGGTACTAACAAAATCTGGATTGATCAGTTAACCCAGTACATTAAAAGATAATAGAATTTATCCTTTCTTCTAATGTATCACTGTTGAGAAACCCTAATTCAGACCTGTGTATTTACTCTTATGTTCTAATTCTAAGCATGCAGTCTCAATTCTAATCATCCTGGATATCTGTAATATAATTTAAAACTTTTATAATTAGAAAATTTTCATAAACACCTCAAAGACAAGAAGAAATTATGGTTAAGCCAAACACTACATTGCTTAAAAAATTTCAGGTTACATCATAATACAAATTTTCACTAATGTGAATAATACTGGTCAATCAATAAAATGCAAGAACTTAAAAAAAGTGTACAAAGTATCTATAAGATTTCTATATCTAGTATTAAGGATAATACAGCGGCAATTCCAATATATTAATATATTCCATATTGCAAGTGGACTTGAGGTGATATTTAAAATTTAACCAAAGCCTAGAAAGCAGTGCTCAAGAAATTCCAGGCCAAGAAACAGCAGAGTACCGAGATTCCCAAGGCCAGTGTGGACGTGAGATGAGCAAGTAGGGTAAGCAGTAGAAAATAAGACCTGAGCATTATGAAGAGGCCACTCCTTGACAAGCTTTGA